TCCTGTTCAAGGTCCTTGAAAGAGTCATCGCCTCCCAGCTGCACTCTTTCCTCTCCATCCATTAATTATTCGAACCCCTTCAGTCTGGTTTTCGTGCTGCCACAGCACAGAAACTGCCCTGGTCAAGGTCACTAATGATATCTTGACCATCTGCGATCAGGGCTCCCTCTGCCTCCTCGTCCTCCTCGACTTATCGACCGCATTCGATACGGTCGACCACGCTATCCTCCTCCACTGCTTGTCCTCACCCTCAACATTCAAGGTCCTGTCCTTGAGTGGTTTAGGTCGTACCTCTCCCACCGTCTTCATTTTGTTTCCACAAACGGCTTTCTCTCCAGCCCCCACACTGTCTCGTGTGGCGTCCCTCAGGGCTCTGTCCTCGGTCCCCTCCTCTTCACCCTCTATATGCTCCCTCTCGGTGACATCATCTGCAGACATGGAGTTAACTTTCACATGTATGTGGATGACACCCAACTCTACCTTTCCTCCTCTACTCTCAACTCCACGACCACCGATGTCCTGACAGCTGCCTGTCCGACATCGAGTCCTGGACGAGAGACAACTTTCTTCAGCTCAATGTGCGCAAAACTGAGGCCCTCCTGATTGGCTCACGTCAGTGCCTCCGCACCTCAGGCGCTGACAGCGTCAGCATCCAAGGCTGCACTCTCCACCTCTCAAAGCCAGTCAGGAACCTCGGGGTTCTGTTCGACCCTGAGCTGTCCTTTCTTCCTCATATCCGCGCCACAACTGGCACCGCCTTCCGTCACCTCCGGAATATCACCAGACTACAGCACTACCTCACCCCTCACGCTGCTGAAACTCTGTTCCACGCCTTTATCACCTCAAGGCTGGACTATGGGAACTCTCTCCTCGCCGGCCTTCCCGGCACCTCCCTCCACAAGCTGCAGGTCATTCAGAACTCTGCAGCTCGTGTACTGTCCCGCACCAGGCTTCGGGACCACATCACTCCCACCCTCGCTTGCCTCCACTGGCTCCCCATCCCCCAGAGGATTGATTTCAAGATCCTCATCCTCACCTACAAGGCCATTCATGGCCTTGCTTCCTCCTACCTCTCCGACCTACTAACCCCCTACTTACCTGCCCGTACCCTCCGTTCCTCTGGCTCCGGTCTGCTCCACATTCCCCGCCCCAACCGCCCTACCATCGGTGGCCGGGCCTTCAGCCCCAAGACTCTGGGACTCCATCCCCCAGTGCCTTTGCCTTGCTTCCAACCTTTCCTCCTTCATGGCCGGTCTCAAGACCCTTCTCTTCGACCGTGCCTTCAGCTCCCCTCTTGACTCTCTACCCCCTCCTCACTCCCTCGCTTCCCTCCCCTCACCCTGACCATTTCCCCCCTGCTCAGGTCCCGACCCAACTGTCCAGCGCCTTGGGTCGTCCTCCTGACGTGAAAGGCGTCTAGATTAAATATTGTTGTTGTTGTTGTAGCAGGAAGAATGGTTGAGCCCCAGGACACTGGACTCATTTAACCAAACAGCTTGATTCCATAATGGGAGGATGGTAGATTGGATGTTCTGGGATGAAGAGATCAAATGGATTGAAAGAACTTGCCTCATCCAAACCTCTCTTGTGAACTAAACAAGAGTAATATGCAATTCAATGTGGTGTCTAACATTGGCTGGAAGCTATACTTTCCATTTTGATTTCAGAACCTCCTCTCACAGAGGAGGGCCTAGATGATCACCAGATCAACCATGCAGCCCATCAAAAGGGGAGAGATTCCCTCTGGTACTGGATGAATACAAGGCAGACCTTGGGGGTGAAATTGTGACTGCCATTTCTGATGTCGTTTCCCATTATTGCAGTGGAGAATTGAGTATAGAGGGCTTGTTGTTCTTTTGCTTTTAAGATGATCCACTTGTACAGCTGTCAGGGTTATATTTAGTTTAATTTTAATTTTGCCATTTGCGTTTGCAATCTGTATTAAAAGTATAGCATTCAAATAAATTAGTGGGGACGAAGGTTGTAATTTACTAATTATGTAGGACAGTAAGGAGATTTTCAAGACAGCTAGTGTTAAGGTTACTTTGGAAACCGAGCAGAAATAATCTGTATTTAAATTGCAAAGCTGTCTGAAACAGCAATGCTAGACATGGAGATTTACATTGAAGGGGGAAGATTCTACAGCAACAGAGTCAACTCACAAAACAGTCTCATACAATGACACAAATTTGGAAACCTGGAATTTATGTAGTCTAATCTGACATTCCAATGCAACTATAGAGTTGTTCTGCATTGTAATAAGTGTCATCCTTTGGATGAGACATTAAACCAAGTTTCTGTGTGCCTCGTGATCGTTAAATCCACCTGCGACCAGGGCTCCCTCTGCCTTCTCATCCTTCTTGACTTCTCTGCTGCCTTCGATACCTTTGACCACTCTATCCTCCTCCACCACCTCTCCCCTAAACCTTCATAGTTCTGTCCTTGATTATTTCAGATCCTACCTCTCACACCATCTCCACTTCTTCTCCAAAAATGGTTTCTCCTCTAGCCCCTGCACCAACACATGCAGCGTTCCTCAGGGCTCTGTCTTTGGTCCCTTCTCTTCAATATCTATAAGCTCCCTCTTGGTAACATCATCTGCAGACATGTGGTCAACTTCCACATGTATGCGGATGACACACAACTCTATCTCTCTGCCCCAGAATGTCTGTAGAGACATCAATTCCTGGATGAGAGCTAACTTTCTAAAGTTGAACGTCAACAAGACCGAGGCTCTCCAGATTGGCTCCCGTCAGCGTCTCCACATCTCAGGCACCGATAGCACCACCAACCATGGATGCACACTCCACCTTACTAAGCCAGTCTGGAACCTTGGGTTCTTGTTCAACCCTTAACTGTCCTTTCTACCCCACATCCGTGCCATGATCAGCACTGCCTTCCCCGACTTCCGCATGCAGCTCCACCACTGCCTCACACTTCAGGCCGCCGAGACCCTCATACACCCATTCGTAACATTCAGGCTCAACTACGCAAACTCCCTGCTTGTCAGCCTCCCCAACTCCTCCCTCCACAGGTTGCAGATTATCCACTGCAGCCAGTGTCCTCTCCCGCAACAGGCTCAGCAACCCTATCACTCCCCATCCTCACTCGACTCCACTGGCTTTCCATCAAACAAATGATACAGTTCAGCCATTTTGCCTCCACCCTCTGGAAATCTACCCTGCAGTCCCTCCGCCTCGTCCCCTCCCTTGCTCCTTCAATAACCGTCTCAAGACCCTACTCTTCAACGATGCTTTCGGTCACCCTCCTTCCCTCCCCTACCCTCCATCCTCCCCAATCCTGACCCCCAGCTCAGGTCTGAAACACTGATTGTCCAGTGCCTTGGGATGTCCTCCCGAAAGGTACTATCCAAGTGAATTTTGTTGTTATTGTTAAAGATCCCATGGCACAATTCAAAAAGACAAGGAAGTTTCTCCCAGTATCTTGGACAACCATCTCCAAAGCAAAATTTGTCACTTACTCCATGGCTGTTTGTGGGAAATTGCTGTGCGCAAATTAGTTGCCCGCATTCACCCACAAACACAATCATTCTACTTTACAATATACCTGTGAACAGCTTTGAGATGTCCAGGCTCAGATGCAAAATGCATCAGTTTAAGATGTTTTGACAATGTGATGAGATGCTATATTAAAAGACAGGACCCCTTTTTATTATTTTGGAATTCTTGATGTTATAATCTCTCATCTCGAACCTGTGAACAAAGAATTGACCAGATAGAATGAAACTTTTGCTGATGGAATAATTATCACATAGAAAGATGTACGGTTGGTGTTCTGGAAGGATGAGATCAAATAGGCCGAAGGGCCTTCCTTCATCCAAATTTCTCGTGATCTTATTATTTGTTACATCACATTAGGAGTGAGAGCCTAGTCAAGATATGGGTTCGGCTGTTAAAAGATGCAGTAGCAAGAGGGCATAAATTGAAGATTATCATGGAGGAGGTTTGGGGAGGAATTAAAGGGGATGTTAGAAAAAAATATTCACTTGGGGAGTGTGATTAACAAGTGCAGTTCTCTTATTTTAAAGGAGAGTCCATGACTTATTTCAAGAGGGAGTTATTTGATTGTTGAAAAGAGTATAAATTGGGAATGAGGAAATGAGTGAGATTAGGCTGGATGGATCCTGTGGAGAAAAACACCAACTGAAGAGCCGACTGATCTATCTCCATACTGTAACGGTCCATGATTCTATCACTCATGACATGTTCACACTGCAGCGTATAACACTACAACGTTAGTACTGGTAACAACACAAAGCAGGAAAACAATGAGAGAACATGATGTTGCTTCCAGCTACTTAATCTTACTGACAGAATTAAACACTCTAAGTAGTGTTGGTGGGAGCATTGGAACTCTGCTGTGCCAACTCAAAGTTTGACCCGCAAATAATAAGATGAGCTTTTTGTTCTTTGCCTGCAGCCTTGATCGCACACGGTGGGACTGTGGATTTTGATCAGCCTCGAGGCTACCCTTTTCCAGCGCACAGCAAATCATATAACTGGTCTGTTCTGCAGGATTGAACATGGATATTGCTGCCAAAGGTGACAGCCAAAGATGTGCACTGTTATAGCAAATGACGTCTTACTTTCACAACACTGTTTTGATATGAACACTGAGGTATCATCTGGGCAATTACAAACAGCCAGTGACTGACTGAAAGCAGTTTTAGAACCATTAAACTATAATAAAACCCAGCACAAAAGAACGCTATTCAGCCCATTGTATCTATGCTAGTTTTTTTAAAAAGCAAACCTTTCAGTCCAATTTACCTGCCCTTTCCCCATCTCCCCGTAGTTCCTTTTTAGTTATTTATCGAATTCCCTTTTTGAAAACCAATATGGATTCTACTTTAGCCACTGCTCCCAGCAGAGCGTTCCATATCCTAACTTACTGTTGTATTTGACCCACTGTAATCCTTTGAATGACTAACTGTGAATATTCATGAAACAAATGGTTTTCTCTCTTTCAGGAGGAAACCAGAACTGACCTCCAACCAAAACGTAAGCTAGACTGTTACAAGAGTGCATGAATTACCAACAGGAAACTGGCACCCGAGTTAGCAATGAAAAGCTTCATCTTCTGGTAGGTCAAACCCTGTCCATTATTGTCTTTCAGCATTTAACAACCCATGGCACATGCCAGTGTTAGAGTCTGGAAAAGACCATCTGTGATCTACATGACCACAACCAAAGTTGATTTTTAAAAAATATTAACCATGTCATTTATTTCTGCAAATACTTATTGAAATAATCACCATTCCAAGTTGCCCTCTGCAAACAATTCACTTTTTATTGTGCAAGGAAACTCCTTCCAACATGGATATTCTCTATCTTGAAGAAATTGTCTTTACATTGACACCTCACTACAGATACTATTTAGTGGTGTGTCATCTCATACTACTGGGAGATACAATAACATATTGGACACTCAATGAGTCAAATGAATGACTAAAAAGTTATTAAAATGCACCCCAGGATTGATATCTGTGAAATATTATAATGCTAGAGATTGCTGTATACTTTCACTGTTCTAAGGTACAATGCCTGTATTTGTATTGAAACGGAACTTGACATTTGACTTGCAGTTGAGATGGGCTATATTTTCCTGTGCAGTTTTTTTTTTCAAAGGGCTTTAGTTCAAAACCCAGCCAATTCCAGGCAGCCTGACACTTGAAATGATTGGATAAATCCGCATACAACATTGGCATTATAGAAAGTAATGATGATGTATGTTAGCTTAGACTCTGAATATACTATAATATTAAAACAATGGGTGAGAATTTATTTTTTGATTCGAGGAAAAATACAATGAAGAATATTAAACCCTAATTGATAAATGTGGCTTAAGAATGATTAATATATATAATATAATAATAATAATAATATTATTAAGAATAATGTGGGGCAAAGAGGAAAAGGGAGCTTTTCATTCAGACTCTCTTATTTTATCTGTTGTCATGTTTGCTGTCAGTTTTACAAAAGTTACAGAAATATTATCTGAAATAAATCAAAGATTTATTTATTTCACTTTATGAAATTCCATAATATAAGTTTTTTGCACTCGGCAAGAGACAACTTTTAGAAATGATTTCAACAATTGTCAAAGTTTTTAATTACATTTTTGGTGAATGGATATTTTGGGAGTGGGAGTGATGGTGCTATTAAGTGAGCAAACGTGCAGCAAAAGATGTAACTCCTTAGACCTGGTGTCTTTAAATTGAGCAACTTTTCTGAAAATAACAGTGAAATGTCATTTTGTATTGCTGAGAGCTACAACAGCATATAGTAAAACAAAACACAAAATAATGCAGATGCTGGAAATCTGAAACAAAAACAGAAGTCGCTGCGAACGTTCAGCAGATCAGGCAGCATCTGTGGCCCTGCTGGGAATCGAACCCAGGTCCTCTCGCTTGCGAGGCAAGTGCTCTCACTACTAAGCTATAGGACTCCACAAATGTTAAGTCATAGTGATAATAAACATAAAATATAAGTTTCTTATAAGTATTCAAAAAAATAGGTCAAGATATGTTCCAGGAACACAGTTCAGCCACAATATAAGTACTTCTAACTTGAATCTGTTAATTGTACAACCCAATGTTCAGTACATAAAAATATGAGCTGACTCTAAAAGGGGTATACTAAAGTTGCAAATATCAGATAAAAAAGGGAGAGTAAGGTCTATTTTATATAGATTGTTAAAACACAAAATCAATTCCAACTTTATAAAATGTTAGCGTAAAGAATATTGTTTCTTTGCAATCAGCCTAAAATAACCCACTCTCAAAATAATATGTTTCAAGACATCACGTGGCAGTCTCTCTGCTATATGGTGAAACCAATTCTTTCATTTCGTCAAATGGCACTGGTGCATTGAGGCATTAAGATTGGATCTGAATCACTGAAACTAGTGAATCTATGAATGGAGTGCTCAAGGAGATGCCTTGGCAGAAACAGATTGTGTCAGTAATGAAAGGGGGAATTGATTTAACCAAATAATTAAATTATAGGGCATGAAGGATGGAGTAATGTGGATTTTATCTTTTTCCTGAGATCAGGGGTGATGAGAATGATGGCAGAACGTCACTGCACTCACCTGGTTATCAATTGTATGGAATATTGCACCCATTGCCTTTGGTGATGTTGGCCTTTAATGGGAATTCCCATTAGGATTTCTCTGCTTTGAATTTCCATCCTGCTAGTAGATAGAGGCTAGATTGTGTGTAACAGAAAGTAAGTAGTAGTCTTCTATCACATTCTGAAGTAAAACATATCAGGGTACGCATTCTCATGAAGCTGAAGTTAGGCAAACTATTATTAATAATGATAATAATAATTAATCATTCCATATGATACAGTGCCTTTCACGTCAGAAAGATGTCTGAAAGTATTTCACAAGATTCACGGTAAAATGTAGTGACTGTGAACCTTTGTAGGCGAATGCAGCAGCCAATTTATGAATAGAAAATGAACAATTAAAGGACACAATCAAGCCTCATAATAATATTAAACAGCCAGGGTTTAATTTCCTCTCAGCAGAACTATGAACAATGTTATTTGTCACTTCTCTTCAAACCACAGGGCATAGATATTACTTTGAGGTCCTTTAATGGAAATGCTGGCTTCATTTCAAATGGATAACTATATCAAAGCAACTTTTAGCAATGTGGAAGTTTAGCACAAATTTGGTTCTCAATCAAACAGCAAGAATACAGTATTTGAACATTAATGACATGTAGATGATTTACTACCCATTTTTGCAGCAAATTTCTCCCATTTTGGTAACATGGTGTCATCCTAGCTCAGTTGATGGCACTTTTTCCTCTGAGGCAGAAGGTTGTGTGTCAAAGCCCCATTTCAACAATTTAAAGTCAATCTAGGCAGACGTTCCAATGCAGTGCTGAGGATGCACTTCATGTCAGAGGTGTCATTTTTCTTGAGACTTTAAACCAAGCTCTTGTCTGTGCCTGTTCTTGTGGGCGTTAAAGACTGTTGTCACTATTCGAAAAAGGAGGGGAGTTTTTCCTGGTGTCCTGGTCAACAATCCCCCAAATAAACATGTTTGTCTACAAAATACACAGTCACCACACTTCATAGTATATCCTGTGAAGTCATCGAGATGTTCTCTTTACATGAAAAGTGCTGTATGAAATGCAATGTTTATTGTTATAATATAAGAGGTAGCAATAGGACAAGGCCATAGAGAGATTTGCAACGAGGGTGCGGATCTTGAATTAGGCCGGGAATGAGCCAGTGGTATAAACCCAGGATTGGATTACAGTTATCTCATACTTTGTATTCCAGCAACTATTATTTATTTACTGTTTCTGCATCTTTGTGTGTTTAGAACTGCAAATTATTTGGGATAAAAGCAAAATAAAATGTATAGGAGATTATTGTGTTTCTGTTGCAGTTTTGTTTGACCTGCAAATTAAAACTACAATACACATAACTTGAACCTCAAGAATAGGCACAAGTCTGGGGCCAGGTGCACTATTTTGGACATCTCTGATGCATTTCCAACAATCACTTGGGGGTTCTCTTATTCTTCTATGTTTCCTGCAAATGCAGCAAACTGGTGCGCAGTTAACACTTCAGCAATCTACAAGCAACAGCTCGACAAAATGCTGCTGGCGTATTCTAATTAGCACATTTGCAGAGGGTGCCTCGCTACAGTTGTGAGATGATAATACCGAATGGAGAGGAAGAGAGAAGGAAAAAACTTGTTTTTTTGTTGCCAGAATTCTGTAGAACCTATTAGTTTTAATTATATGTTACTGAATTATACAGAAATAGATAACTGGAGCTGCGACAATGTTGTGCCAATATTCAAGATTATTTAAAGCTGCATCAACTGATTTTTGCTTCGGAAGAAGTTTCATTATATCAGTGGTTAAATACATCGGGAACATAAGTCACTCATTGACAATGATGCTTTTACTTTGGGATATTTTTTCAGTGCACGTGAAGCAAATTAATACAATAATAATCCTTCCATTTGATATAGAGCCTTATCCCTTCATTGAGACATTTCGAAGCGCTTCACAGAATACACTATAAAGTGAATTGACTGTATTTTGTGGGCAAAACACGGCAGCCAATTGCACACAGCAGTGGCCCACAAACAGTCATTGGTTGACTGACCAAACTTTTTTTGTAAAGATTATTTCCCCCAGAAAGCAATCTGCCAATTGACTAACAAGCAGGTTCCTACTTACTCCTAGGGAAACAGAAATTCACATGAAACTCAATGCGATCAAACAGCAATATTTGCTCAAAGCATCTGTTCCCCAGAAGCTACTTGAATACAAGTGTAAAATAATTCACAACCTACGTAGGTTGATGCCGCACAGGCAATGGCAGAATGGAAATTATGAACATAGCGCTTCAGTTGATTATTTTGCAAATTACAAATTAGGTCAATCCAGTGAGTACCTGATGCTTTCTGTTCAAAATAGCACAAATACCAGCCTGCTTTGTGTTCCCAGCCCTGTTTGCCCCCATTGACAGGCAGACCTTCAGCCATTCTGCCTCCATTCTCTAACACTCCATCCCTCTGACTCGCTTGCTGCAAACCCTCGTTCAAGTTGTGTCTCAAAACATACTTCTTTGACTGCAGCTTTTGATCATCTTTCCCTTCTCCACTCCCCTGAGGTCCCACCCCCAGGTCACATGCTTGCTGAATATTAAGGGCTTTGTTAATAGGACATGAAAAGTGCTATATAAATATGTGTATAGTCTATTGCATATAATGAAAGAAAATCTATTTTTTTTCTCAAAGAACCCTTGTAAAAGTAACATTCTTTCTATTCACTATTGAAGCGGTATGTCTGCGAACCTTCAAGAATTCCAATGGAGTTTTAATCGGATCATATTCCAAACCTGTGAAGCCCACAGTTGAAATCATTGGTATTCTACGTGTAACTTGATTGTGGATCATATCACTGCATCTTCATAGAATCATAGAATTATACAGCACAGAAGGAGGCCATTTGGCCCATTGTATCTGTGCCAACTATTTGGAAAGAGCTCTCCAATTCAATCCCACTCACCCGCTCAAGAATCTTCTTGATGAAGTGAGACAGC